GGGAAAGGCAATCCATGGGATCACAAGGCAATCTTCATCTCCTTGAAGTACACGTCGATGGACTTGGATCCTTGGATGGTGTTCTCCAATTGGCGTCGAAATTGTCCCGTGTAGGTTGGAGGCACGAACTCTCGCCGCAAATCTCTCTTCGTCTTGGGCTAACTCATGTCGTAGTACTCCGAAGGTGTGTGAAGCCACCTTGCCGATGCGTAGTCGTGGAAGTTTCTTGTGGCGCACTTCACTTGATCTTCGGGACGAACTTGATGTAGCTTGAGGTAGTCGTCCATCAAACGCTCCCACTCGAGGTACTCCTCGGCTTCTTGAGTCCCATAGAAAGGAATTGCATGGTCGATGTCGAGGTCATAGTAGCTCGTGGAAGTCGCGGACTTGAGCTTGGGGAGCTTCTCTTGAGTGTAGCCTTGAGGTTCTTATTGGCGAAGATGCCATATGTCCATAGGCGAAGATGCCTTGAAGTTGCTTGGCAAAGATGCCAAGGGAGATGGCGAAGTCGTTGAGCGGTTGTTGGGGTTGAGCTCTTGACCTTCACGTTCTTATTGGTGATGATGTCGATGTCGATGTGATCTTGCCGGAGATGGTAGCTCGGAAGCATGTGCTCTTGAGCGTCTTCTCGGAGATGAGGAAGATCACTTGTAGGACTTGATGAGGGCTTTGATCTCCTCCATTTGACCTTGCATCTTGGCATCAGAGTTGTTGTTCACGGCATCGAACTCGTCATTGTTGTTGTAGACCGAAGGTGAAATGCCTTGCCTATCCATCACAAGACTCGAGTAGAGGTGAGTAGGAAATGAGATAAACAATACCAAGTTGCCTTTTCCCAAAGTTGAGGATGTATCCCGTTTCACTCAATGTGAAATGAAAGAATAGTGGAATTGGTACCGGACTTGTTCACTCACACCTATCAAGTAAAGCTTATGCTAGATCTCGGTGAGGATAGTGGCACAAAAATTTGATACAAAATGTTAGCAAGAGTCAATAATGTTGAAAGAGATTCACAAATTCGCAAGCGAAACAAGTAGACCAATAGCAATATGTGGCACACAGAAACACACACACGGATAGATAAATGGGGTCGTGCAACCAAGGAATGAGCACAAAATGTGGAATCCATGGAAAATGCTCGTGTTGCACAACTCAAGAGAGACGCTAGCACGATTGCTCAATAGGCGGATACGACACTTGTGCACAACCTATAAGATGCAAAATGGATAAACTTTCTATCCCAAGTATGCTATATATGTATGGTTCCCGGTGTTTCTCACACAATGATCCAAGATGATCAAGTATGATACCATATGATATATTTTGATGCTATGGCTATTGCTTACAAGCTCTTTGCTCTCTTTCTTTTCCTTAAAAGCTTTATTTCTTCTTCTTTTTGTATGATATGGCCACTTTGCACAAACCAAGATAGAAATTGTGTATATGCAGGAACAAACTTGAGACACAACGGATGATATGATACCAAGATGATATGGTATGTATGTAATGGAAGGCATAGACCACTAATGTACACAAGTCACGTTGCCGGCAATACTCAAATGGCTAGTCTCGATAGGCAGGTAACGCAAAATGGGATAATGGTTATCAATGCAATTGCAAGGGGAATATACAATGGTGTCGTCGATGTTACCGTCCTTGGTGATGATGAGAGGCGGTGTTGCCGATGTTGACCCGTTCCTAATTAGCCGAAACACCTTAGGAAACGGAAAAACCACAACTCAAAATCTCCAAAGGCAAATGTCAAATGGTGGTAGCGGAAAAGCGGTGGTGATTTGCACTTGGCAATGCGGAAGTGGAGTGATGGCTATACACGTGTCTGAGTTGAAGTTGCCGTCCCTAAGTAGCCGAAACACCTTAGGAGACTCGAATCACTACTCAAGCAACCACTAATGCTATATGGAACAAAATGGGTTAGGTTGCGGAAGTCGGAGGTGGCTATGCGGATGATATGGTGGAGGGCCTTGGCAAACTTGCCAAATGTTGGAAATTTTTATGGAGTCAAATGGTGTTGCAACCTATCTATATGGATGGGGGGTGTCAATAGCTACTCGACAAGCTAAAGAATGCGAAAATCAGACTCCGGATGTGAAAGTTATGGCCAAAACGGTGAAATACGGAAGGCTAAAATTCCTGGGACTGGATATCCGGGGGTAGGGGCCGGATTTCTGGGGGTGTATGTCCAGAACCGAGCAGATTTGGTGCTCCAGGGCCCGGATGTCCGGCTTGGGGCCCGGATGTCCGGACCGATGGCCCAGATGTCCGTCCTGATGCCCGGATGTCCGGCCCGACCATTCCAGATCTCGTTTGGGGCGGAAATTTTCGAATTGGGGACGGAAATTGATGATTTCGGGGGCAAAATTTGATGGATTTCATGGATGGAAAGTGGAGAAACTTGGGGAGATGCTAGATCCACTTGAAACCAAGCAAATCCACGGATCAAAATCAACAAAACATCATCAAACCAACAAATCCCAAAAAAAAATCGGGCTATTTTTGGTGGGGATTTTCGGATTTTAGGACGAAATCAAGCAAAAGAAGGCAAGAAATCTATGGGAGGGACTCCAAATACGTGATAAACGTGTCTCATGATACCATATGATACGGGGCTAACCTGGTGTAGGACGATCTTTGACGATTGGAGTGGGATCCCTCGAAAAACACGAAGAACATGGGGAAGAACGGGGAGAAATCACAAGGGGAAACACTCAAGAACAAGTCCAATCACACATCCACTAGACAATCAAACACACAAGATCCACAAGGTACATTAACAACAAAGGGAAAGAAAGAATGTAAGGTTCATCTCCAAGAGGAGGTCTTGATGGTATCCTAGACGGATCTTCCCACGAGGGGGGTCTTGATGATATCCCGCAGGATCTTCTCACATGGAGGTCTTGAACTCCATGGGAGTGGTCTCTCTCTCTCTCTCAAGAGGAGAAGATAGGAGCAAAGCACCTAAGAATGAGCTATCATATTTGCTAACCTTAACTAGAAGGAGGTGGAGGAGTATATATAGTGCTAGCCCACGAAGGGGTAAGTGAGAGGGGGGATACATGGGCCTTTGGCCCGGTTAGGCACGCACAGGTGCCGGGCGTCCGGGCTGGGGGACGGATGTCCGGGGCTTCGGGAAGAGCCGGATGTCCGGGGTCTCGGCCGGATGTCCGGGTTGAAGTGGCCAAACTTTGGGTGTGTTCTGTCGTCGCTGCCGGATTTCCGGGGGAGAGGTCGGATGTCCGTGCTTTGGTGAGGCGCGGGATGTCCGGGGCTGGCGCCGGATGTCCTACCACTGATGTTGTTGGCCATCCGTTAGTGCAGCTCCTTGGCGGCTGCACAGGCACCGGATGTCCGGCTTCTGGCCTGGATGTCCGGCCGCTGTAGCTTCAGGAGCTCCGTCTTCTTCGGCCATCGCTTCCAAGCTTCCCTCGCGGATGGTGTAGTTGTTCCTTGGTGCTTGCACTCCTCCTCGACATCCGTGAAGATCCGACAATACCTATGCATGCACGCGTGAGAAGTGTCAAGTAGTATACCATCCTCGATGGGGTCATGTGAGCACGTGTAAAGGAGAAGATTCACCTTTGTGTATGTGAAGTAGATGTCGCATGTGCCACTAGCCGAACAGACTCTTGACATGGTGATGCCCATAGGATGCTCCGCATCAAGAACCTATCACTAAAATACCTGATAGAGCTAAACGGAACGAAAAGGGTTTTCCATGAGATGGTAAATGAAAACGATTAGTCCCACACGAGGTTTGGGAATAAGTGATTGTCTGATAATGAGCAAGGAATATACGTCTTTCTGCTAAAGAGGATCTATTGAACTCATAATTCATTAAATCCTTGTTATCAATGCCAACTAGGTATCATAAGTAAATGGATCCCGGTTGTTCAATCCTTTGATAACCAAGGTCATTCTTTGCTAAAGAGAAATGATCACTACGAGTAGACTCAATAGAATTGGATCCATTCCAAATAGCGAGAATTAGGATTCTTGATCCCTCTCAATCTCTCTTTCAATTCGAGGATCCAGAGAGGTGTTTTCATAGTCATCTCCGAATATTTGCCATCTCGGGATATTTTCGATTTCATTTTTCTATGATATGTCTTTCTATATGAAAATTGGTTATTTATGATGTATGATGATCCCTGTTAAGCATCCACGGCTGAATGGTTAAAGCGCCCAACTCATAATTGGTAAATTTGCGGGTTCAATTCCTGCTGGATGCACATGAATGGGAACATTCCATAAGACTATTGGAACTGGCTCTCTATCCATGGAATCTCATCCATCATCCATACATAACGAATTGGTATGGTATATTCATACCATAACATAAGAACAATAAGAACTCGAATTCTTATCGATACTGGAACTTGGAGCATAGGAGGGAAAGTCGATTTATGGATGGAATCAAATACGCAGTATTTACAGAAAAAAGTCTTTGTTTATTGGGAAAGAATCAATATACTTTTAATGTCGAATCGGGATTCACTAAGACAGAAATAAAGCATTGGGTCGAACTCTTCTTTGGTGTTAAGGTGGTAGCTGTGAATAGCCATCGACTACCTGGAAAAGGTAGAAGAATAGGAACTATTCTGGGCCATACAATGCATTACAGACGTATGATCATTACCCTTCAACCGGGTTATTCTATTCCACTTCTAGATAGAGAAAAAAAACTAAAGGAGAATACTTAATAATACGGCGAAACATTTATACAAAACACCTATCCCGAGCACACACAAGGGAACCATAGACAGGCAAGTTAAATCCAATCCATGAAATAATCTGATTCATGGACGGCACCGTTGTGGTAAAGGTCGTAATTCTAGAGGAATCATTACCGCAAGGCATAGAGGGGGAGGTCATAAGTGCCTATACTGTAAAATAGATTTTCGACAGAATCAAAAAGACATATCTGGTAGAATCGTAACCATAGAATATGACCCTAATCGAAATGCATACATTTGTCTCATACACTATGAGGATGGTGAGAAGAGATATATTTTACATCCCAGAGGGGCTATAATTAGAGATACTATTGTTTCTGGTACAAAAGTTCCTATATCAATGGGAAATGCCATACCTTTGAGTGCGGTTTGAACTATTGATTTACGTAACTGGAAGTAACCAATTAGGTTTACGATGAAACCTAGAAATCGATCACTGATCCAATTTGACTAACTCTACGGGATAGACCTCAACAGAAAACTGTTGAGTAACGGCAGCAAGTGATTGAGTTCAGTAGTTTCTCATAGAAAATTATTGGCTCTAGAGATATGGTAATATGGAGAAGACAAAATTGTTTGAAGCACACACAGAACCAGAAGCGCCCCTTGTTTCAAAGAAAGGAGGATGGGTTATTCACATTTAATTTGATGGTTAGAGGCAAATTGAAAGCTAAGCAGTGGTAATTAAGACCCCCGGGGGAAAATAGGGATGTCTCCTACGTTACCCATAATATGTGGAAGTATCGACGTAATTTCATAGAGTCATTCGATCTGAATACTACATGAAGAACATAAGCCAGATGATAGAACGCAGAGACCTAGGATGTAGAAGATCATAACATGAGCGATTCGGCAGATTTGGATTCCTTTCCTATATATTCACTCATGTGGTACTTCATCATATGATTCATATAAGATCCATCTGTCTAGAGATCGTCATATACATCTAGAAAGCCGTATGATTTGGAAGAAGCTTGTACAATTTGGGAAGGGGTTTTTGAGAGAAAAGAAGAATCTACTTCAACCGATATGCCCTTAGGCACGGCCATGCATAACATAGAAATCACACGTGGAAGGGGTGGGCAATTAGCTAGAGCAGCAGGTGCTGTAGCGAAACTAATTGCAAAAGAGGGTAAATCGAACACTTTAGGATAAACATCTGGGGAGGTAAGTTTAGTATCCCAAAACTGCTTAGCAACAGTCGGACAAGTGGGTAATGTTGGGGTGAACCAAAAAAGTTTGGGTAGAGCCGGATCTAAGTGTTGGCTAGGTAAACTCCCCGTAGTAAGAGGGGTAGTTATGAACCCTGTGGACCACCCCATGGGGGCGGTGAAGGGAAAGCTCCCATTGGTAGAAAAAAACCCACAACCCCTTGGGGTTATCATGCGCTTGGAAGAAGAACTAGGAAAAGGAAAAAATATAGCGATACTTTTATTCTTCGTCGCCGTAAGTAAATACGTAACTAGGAATATGAAAAATTGCATTTTTGGAATTTGCAATAATGCGATGGGCGAACGACGGGAATTGAACCCGCGCATGGTGGATTTACAATCCACTGCCTTGATCCACTTGGCTACATCCGCCCCTTATCAAGCTAAAGGATTTTTTTCTTTTTTCCATTGATCATTATTCTATTAATTCTGACCTCTGTACTTCGATCGAGATATTGGACATAGAATGGCACTCTTTAAAAAGGAAAAAAGGAGTAATCAGCTGTGACACGAAAAAAAATGAATCCTTTTGTAGCTCATCATTTATTGGCAAAGATAGAAAAGGAGGAGAAAGAAACAATAGTAACATGGTCCCGGGCATCTAGCATTCTACCCACAATGGTTGGCCATACAATCGCGATTCATAATGGAAAGGAACATATACCTATTTACATAACAAATCCTATGGTAGGCCGCAAATTGGGGGAATTCGTGCCTACTCGGCATTTCACGAGTTATGAAAATGCAAGAAAGGATACTAAATCTTGTCGTTAACTGAATTCTAAATAGAAAGATTAAGAAGAAAAAAAGATTCAAAATAAAGACAGAAATACCCAATATTTTGTTCTAGCAAGATATTGGGTATTTCTGTCTTTTCTTTCTTCAAAAATTCTTATATGTTAGCAGAAAAACCTTATCCATTAGTTGATGGAACTTCAACAACAGCTAAGTCTAGAGGGAAGTTGTGAGCATTACGTTCGTGCATTACTTCCATACCAAGGTTAGCACGGTTGATGATATCAGCCCAAGTATTAATAGCGCGACCTTGACTATCAACTACAGATTGGTTGAAATTGAAACCATTTAGGTTGAAAGCCATAGTACTAATACCTAAAGTAGTGAACCAGATTCCTACTATAGGACAAGCAGCCAAGAAGAAGTGTAAAGAACAAGAGTTGTTGAAACTAGCATATTGGAAGATTAATCGGCCAAAATAACCATGAGCAGCCACAATATTATAAGTTTCTTCCTCTTGACCAAATTTGTAACCATCATTAGCAGATTCATTTTCAGTAGTTTCCCTCATCAAACTAGAGGTTAACAAGGAACCATGCATAGCACCGAATAGGGAACTGCCGAAAACACCAGCTACACCTAACATGTGGAATGGATGCATAAGGATGTTGTGCTCTGCCTGGAATACAATCATATAGTTGAAAGTACCAGAGATTCCTAAAGGCATACCATCAGAAAAGCTTCCTTGACCAATAGGGTAAATCAAGAAAACAAGAGTAGCAGCTGCAACAGGAGCTGAATATGCAACAACAATCCAAGGACGCCTACCCAGACGGAAACTAAGTTCCCACTCACGACCCATATAACAAGCTACACCAAGTAAGAAGTGTAGAACAATTAGCTCATAAGGACCACCATTGTATAACCACTCATCAACAGATGCAGCTTACCAAATTGGGTAAAAGTGCAATCCGATCGCCGCAGAAGTAGGGATAATAGCACCAGAGATAATATTGTTTCCATGAAGTAAAGAACCAGAAACAGGCTCACGAATACCATCAATATCTACTGGAGGGGCAGCGATGAAGGCGATAATAAATACAGAAGTTGCGGTCAATAAGGTAGGGATCATCAATACACTGAACCATCCGATGTAAGGACAATTTTCAGTGCTAGTTATCCAGTTACAGAAGGAACCCCACAGGCTTGTACTCTCGCGTCTCTCTAAAATTGTAGTCATGGTAAGATCTTGGTTTATTCAAATTGCAAGGACTCCCAAGCACACGTATTAACTAGAATATAGATAATAGAAGGCTTGTTATTTAATAGTATAACATATACTATATACCAATGTCAACCAAGTCAGCCCAAAGATTAGCTATCCATATAAATATATTAACCAAACCAATAATTTTGTATTTGTAAATGAAGTGAGTCAAAGTTAAAAACTTTGATGGGTCTTTTCTATATGGGTTGCCCGGGACTCGAACCCGGAACTAGTCGGATGGAGTAGATAATTCTTCCTTGTTACAATAGAGAAAAATCCCTCCCCAAATCGTGCTTGCATTTTTCATTGCACATGACTTTCCCTATGTAGAAATAGCCAATTTTTATTCCAAAGAGGAAGTTCTACTAATTTTTTTAATTAGTAAGTTGATTCACCTACTCTTTATTATAATAAAAAGAACATTTCAGAATGAAAAATAGAAAAGTTTTTTCTTGATCATTTATCAACCCTTTCCTTTTTCTTAATTTCGTCTAATGATTAATTAAGAGGGTTGACCAGGTCATTGATACGTATAATATCCAAATACCAAATACGCTCAGTGTGTGATCCACAGAAAGAAAAAAGAGTTGTTTTGGTTAACATCAAAGAAAAAACTTGCTCTTCTTCAATAAAAAATTCTTCTAAAAATGCCGAACCCAATCGTTGCATAAAAGTTCGTACCGTGATTTTATGTTTACGAGCTAAAGTTCTAGTGCATGAAAGTCGAAGTATATACTTTAGTCGATACAAAGTCCGTTTTTTCGAAAATCCACTATGATAATGAAAAAGATTTTTACATATCCGACCAAATCGATCAAGAATATCCCAATATGATAAATTTGTCCAAATGGGTTTACTAATAGGATGCCCCGATCCAGTACAAAATTGAGCTTTTGATAAGTATCCTATGAGGAGAGTAGCGGGGACTATGGTATCGAATTTTTTTCATTCGAGTATCTATTAGAAATGAATTCTCCAGCATTTGATTCCTTACTAACAAAGAACTTTTTGGTACACTTGAAAGGTACCCCATAAAATCGAAGCAAGAGTTTGCTAATTGGTTTATATGGATTCTTCACGGTTGAGTCCAAAAACAAAAATAATATTGCCAGAAATTGATAAGGTAGCATTTCCATTTCTTCTTCAAAAAAAAGTGCATTTTGATGCAAGAATTGCCTTTCCTTGATACCGAACATAATGCATAAGAGGATCCATAAAGAACCATAGGATTTTCCAAGAAAAACCAGGGTACATTATCCCAAAATGTTCCATCTTCCTAGAAAAGTGGATTCGTTCCAGAAGATGCTAATGGTAAGCAAGAAGATTGTTTACGAAGAAACAACAAAAAAATTCATATTCTGATACATAAGAGTTATATAGGAATCGAGATAGTCTTTTATTTTCTTTTGAAAAAAATGGATTTTATTGAAGTAATAAAACTATTCCAATTCGAATAGTAGTTGAGAAAGAATCGCAATAAATGCAAAGATGGAACATCTTGGATACGGTATTGAAGGAGTTGAACCAGGATTTCCAAATGGATAGGATAGGGTATTCCTATATGTGATAGATAATCCAAATGCAAAAATTGGTCTTCAAAAAAGGGAATATTGAATGAATAGAGCGTAAATTCTGAAGCTTTGGTATTTCTTTTTCTTTCGGACACAATAATTCCCATAGCGATAATGGGATTTCCACAACGATCGCAAACCCTTCAGATAGAATCTGAGAATAAAACTCAGAATAAAAATAATTTTTGTAATCCAATAATCGATCTTGGTTAAGATGAGTAACCGAGTTATCCAAAAAATTCTCCTGATACATTCGAATAATTAAATGTTTCACAAGTAGTGAACTAAATTTCTTGTTGTTACAACTAACAACTATTTCCACAGGTTCAGAACCATTTAATCCATAATCGTGGGCAAATGCATAAATATATTCCAGAAAGATAAGTGGGTACATGAAGTATTGTTGACGAGATTTATGTTTTTCTGAATACCCTTCGAATTTTTTCATTTGTATTTCTACTTGAATCAGAGAGAAGAAGCATTTCTCGGTTTATCGAATGATGATACATAGTGCAATATGGTCAGAACAGGGTGTTGCATTTTTAATACAAACCCTGAAAAGAAAGGGAGTCTAATCCACGGATCTTTTCTGCTCCTTTTCTACCCAATTAGTTTATGTTTGTTCTAATTAAAAAAAAAGAACATAACAAGTTTTTTGTTTTTGCAGGCCAATCGCTCTTTTGACTTTGGAATACAACCTCTTTATCAATATACTGCTTCTTTTACACATTCAATCCATAACATCCCTCATTCAATCCATAATCAAGAATAATTAGGATTTCTAAAAAAAATAAAAATAAAGGGTCCACTCATAGGAAAACCCAACCTTTCCCCGCATCCGGCACTAATCTATTTTTAACGTCTAATTAGAGCGGGGAATCATTCCAATTAGGAAGTTCAGCTCGTTGCTTTTTATTTTACCAGAATTGGAGCCAGGCCTTATCCATTTATTCACTAGACCCAGAAAATCGTAATTTTGGATTCCATTCAAAAAAGATTGATTTTATTACGACATGCTATTTTTTCAAGTCATTACCTTTGAGGATCAGTCGTGGTCTTCTAGACTGTAGCAAGAGTCTGGACGAATTTGTTGTTTCATCCAAATGTGTAAAAGATCATAGTCGCACTTAAAAGCCGAGTACTCTACCATTGAGTTAGCAACGCAGATAAAAAATGATCTTAGATACGATCAAAATCCAAAAATCAATGGAATTACACCGCGCGCTTCTGTCAAAACATTGAACTAGTAAGACATCAAAAGATTTTTTTTATCTACCATGAAAAACACTCAAATGCCAAAACGAACAGGTCCGGTTAAATTCCACTAAAGTAAAGTTAAAAAACGAGCGACCCAAATCACGATGGCCAAATTCTCCTTATTTTTAGCGATTTTTATGAATATATATATATATATATATATTATATTGTATGAGAATACATGCAAGAGGAACACCCTTATCATTTGAGCGAAGTCTTGGGAGAAAAATGGAATATGGAGTGAGGATAAAGAGACCCATCTATCTACAAATTCTATTTGTTCAATAGACCTTTTTCAATGGAAATACAATGGTAAGAAAACAAATTAGATAGAAAAAGTAAATAAAATAGGGGCTTATGTTGGATTATCACGATATAATATAAATCCAAATAGGATTAAGAAAGAGGTAAATTGTGTCTAAATCATTAGACAACTAGGAATACTAATAATCTTCTCCTATCCTACTTTTTGATTCATTTAGTTCTTCAATTAACTCAAAGTGCTTTCTTTTTCTTTAAAGAATTCCGCCTTCCTTAAAATATCATAAACAGTTCTTGTCGGTTGAACACCCTTTTCAAGGAAATAGAGAATAGCTGGAACATTTAAACAAGTATGATTCTTTACCGGATCATAAAAACCTACTTTTTGAAGATGTCCTCCTTCTCTTCGAGATCGAACATCAATTGCAACGATTCAATAGACAACTTATTGGGATAGATGTAGATAAACAACGCCCCCCCTAGAAACGTATAGGAGGTTTTCTCCTCATACGGTTGAGAAAATGATTCGAATTTCTGTCGATAATAATAGAAATTAGACTATGACGTGCATTAATTTCCTTACAGAAAAAACAAATTTCATTTATACTCATGACTCAAGTGGGCTAATTTTTCCTGACAAACTTCGAAGGCAAAATCCTTCCAAAATTTTTGAGTCGTCTTTAAACTCTATTCTTTGTCTCATTTCGAACGAATTGACTTTTATTCCTTATTCTGATCTAACTCTGTTGTTGAGACAATTGAAAATTGTGTTTACTTGTTCTGGAATCCTTTATCTTCCATTTGTGACATCCTTGGGTTTAGACATTACTTCGGGAATTCCTATTTTTTTCTTTCAAAAGGGTAGCAACATACCTTTTTTCTTATTTCCTTCGATAAAGCATTTATCTCTTCTATAGAAATCTAATAAGAGGGATTGATTCTAATATACTTTTATTGGACTTTCTTCTTATTTTAACCTTTCGATTTATTTCTATATTAAGGATAGGCTGACAAAGTTGGCCTAATTTATTAGTTTTCACTAAACCTAGATTCTTTCCCTTGATAAAAAAATTATGTTCTCTCGAGCTCCATCGTGTACTATGTTACTTAAACCCAGCGCAAATTTTGTTCGGAATGAATAGTACAGGCTATGTCGAGCCAAGAGCATTTTCATTACTATGGAAAATGATGGATAGAAAAATCTGTAATCGATCATGTCCTTCAAGTCGCATGTTGCTTTCTACCACATCGTTTTAAACGAAGTTTTACCATAACAAACATTCCTCTTTTCATTGCAAAGTGGTATAGAGAATTGATCCAATATGGATGGAATCATGAATAGTCATTGGTTTAGTTTTTTTATACTAATTAAAACTTGCTATCTATGGAGAAATATGGATAAAAGAAAGTAAGTATTTATCCGGGAAGCCTCCGCCAAGATCCAATTTATTTAAACCCGTATTAAAATTCTATCATCTGAATGAAACATAGTTTGAAAAAGACGACTAAACAAGTTTGCTTAAAACTTATTTATTCTTAAATTTCCACCCTCAACGGATGGCTCGAGATGATTAATCTTGAAGTGAGAAGAGAAGGATTGACTCTTCCTCAATAAATAAACTATCAACCTCCAATTTTTTTTAATTAATTTAATTACTAGAATTCTAATTCTAGTAGTAATATATTTTTTCAGTACCAAAACCATTAACTGTAATAACTAAATAAACTATTCTAGTGAAAAGATTGAAAGTTTTTGGTAGTTATAGAATTCTCGTACTTCTTCAACTCGAATCCCAAAAGGAAGAAAAAATATGACTAAGTGATTTTATAGTAGAGGCATATCCTGAATGTTCTTGATAGATCCCATTTTTTCATGAAAATAAA